GAGAGAGAGAGAGAGAGAGACAGTGTGTGAGAGAGACCGTGTGTGTGAGAGAGAGAGACAGTGAATGTGAGAGAGCGTTATGTGAGAGACAGAGACAGTGAGTGTGTGTGTGAGAGAGAGACAGAGACAGTGAGTGTGAGAGACCGTATGTGAGAGACAGAGACAGTGAGTGTGTGTGCGAGAGAGAGACAGAGACAGTGAGTGTGAGAGAGAGAGAGACAGTGAGTGTGAGAGACCGTATGTGAGAGAGAGAGACAGTGAGTGTGTGAGAGAGAGAGAGAGACAAAGAGTGTGTGCGTGTGTGAGAGAGAGAGAGACAGGTGAGAGAGTGAGAGAGACAGACAGCAGGTGTGAGAGAATGTGAGACAGAGTGTATATGTATGACAGAGTGTGTGAGAGTGTATGAGACAGTGTTTGAGAGATGAAGGTAGCATGAGACGGAGAACGTCTTTGTGAGATAGAGAGTGTGACAGGGTATGAGTGTGTGTGAGAGAATTTGAGACGGAAAGTATGTGTGAGAGTGAGAGAGAGACCGAATGTGTGAGCGAAAGAGAAAGTGTGTATGTGTGAGAGAGAGAGAGAGAAAATGTGTGTGAGAGAGTGCATGTATGTGAGAGAGATATTTCCAGCTCAGGATGGGGAGTGGCTCGGAGGGGATCTTGCAGGGGGCGGTGTTCCCGGGTGGCATGGTGGCTCAGTGGTTAGCACTGCCTCACAGCACCAGGGACTCAGGTTTGATCCCACCCTCGGGCGACTGTGTGGAGTTTGCGCATTCTCCCCGTGTCTACGTGGGTTTCCTCCGGGTGCTCCGGTTTCCTCCCACAGTCCAAAGATGTGCAGGTGAGGGTGGATTGGCCGTGCTAAATTACCCCATAGTGTCCAGGATGTGTAGAGTAGGGGGATAGGTCTGGGTGGGACGCCCTTTGTGTGGTGTGGGTGTGGACTTGTTGGACCGAAGGGCCTGTTTCCACACTGTAGGGTTTCTACGAAAAATCTGCTGCCCCTTGTCCTTCCGGATGGAAGTGGCCGTGGGTTTGGAAGGTGCTGTCTGAGGGGCCTTGGCGAGTTTCTGCAGCGCATCTTGTAGATGGTACACACTGCTGCGACTGAGCGTCGGTGGGGG